GAGAGACCAAGATTCAAGGCCTCAATGAGGCAGGGATAATTACCCTGCTCCCCATAACAGGCAACCCTTAAAAGTGGACAACTCATGCTTCTTGAGCCAGAACTTTTAGAACTCAGTACCCGGACTCGTGTCAGGCCAACCAGACAATACCCATGAGAGCACACGTGTAAATGTGTGATCGGTGGCAATTTCTGCAGCCATGTCCCTAGCATTGAGGGGCAATTCTGACAACTCCTGGATGGAGAGAATATTGATGGCAGGAGCAGGGTCTGCTTCTACCAGTTTTAGAGGTAGTCTGCTTAGGCCATCTGCGTGGCCCATTTCTTTTCCTGGTTTTGAACTAAAGTGTAATCATAAGCTGACAGGAAAATGGACCACCTCAGCATTCTAGGGAATATTATATGAGGGGTTTGTTTGGTTGTTGTAAACAAACCCAGAAGAGGCTTATGGTCTGTGTAGACTGTGAAATGGCGGCCATATAAGAAATCATGAAATTTCTTAATGCCAGCCACTATGGCCAGTGCTTCTCTGTCAATTTGGTCATAATTACACTCAGCAGAAGACAGAGTCCTAGAGTAATATGCCACAGGAACCTGTGTCCCATCAGCCCTCAAGTGGCTAAGTACAGCTCCCACCCCATAAGGAGATGCATCGCAGGCAATGCAAACATGCAATTGCTCATTGAAATGTGCTAACACAGCATAAGAAGTGAGCAATGTCTTAACCTCGTTGAAACTCTTTTCATGGACCTTTGTCCACTGCCAAGAGGCCTGTTTGTCTAAAAGCCTATGTAATGGCTCTTCTACTGCAGCTTTATGTGGGAGAAATACATTGTAAAAGTTCAAGAGGCCCAGAAAGGCCTGCAGCTCACCTTTAGACTTGGGGCTTGATGCCTGCTCTATAGCTTGCAACTTAGATTCAGCAGGGTGAATACCTTGAGCATCTACCCTGAATCCTAAGTCAATAGAAGTGACTCCTCTCTTACACTTATCCTTCTTCAACTTAAAGCCTGCTCTTCGAAAATGGAACAAAACAGCCCTCAACCTCTCCGCTAAGTTGTGAGATGACTCCCCAGGAATAAGGACATCATCAAAATAGAGGCAAACTTCAGGAATGCCCATAAGTATGCTCCCCATAACACTTTGGAATATGCCAAGGGCTACATTTACCCCAAATTGCAGTCTCTTGACCTTGAATACACCCCTATACGTTACAATGGTCTGTGCCTCAGCAGCAGCTTCATCAACAGGTAATTGTTGATATGCCTGTGCCAGGTCAAGCTTTGCAAAAACTCGCCCTCCTTTGAGGGAAGTTAAGATATGACTGACTACTGTTACTGGATAAGTGTGCTGTTGCAGCACCTTATTTAGTGTGCACTTGTAATCTGCATAAATACATATGTCCCCATTAGCCTTTAGAGGCGTTACTATGGGGGTTTCTCATGGACTTGAATCTACAGGCTCTAAAATGCCTTGCTGGAGCAATTTATCCAGCTCAGCATCAATCTTGCCCTTGAGGGCAATGGGTACCCTCCTAGCCTTAACTATGATGGGTGTGATGGTTGGGTCTAATCTTAATGAAACTGGAGGCCCCCTGTAGGACCCAAGCTTTGGACTAAACACATCTGCAAACTCCTCACAGACTTCTGCTAGGCCCAACATTTGCAAATGGTGCAGCCCAGTAACCTGGATTCCCAAGGCCTCAAACCAATTGAGTCCTATAAGACTCGTGCATTCATCCCCAACAACCAACACATCTAATGGACCTTCAAACTCCTTATATTGCACTGTAAGGATGGCCTCCCCCTTAACGCACACCTTGGAATTTTGAAAATCTGTTAATATTATGTTTGATGGCCTAAGTTTGGCTTGAAAGCCACTGCTGTTGCAAATCTTTCTAAATGTATTAAGGGAAATAATGGAAAGAGCAGAGCCAGTGTCCAACTCCATAGATAAAGGAACCCCTTGCAATCTAACCTTAAGTGACACTTTTTTCTTTAGGGGTTTGTGTGTGCCTGTCCTGCAAATACCCCTGCGCGATGCGCAGAAACCCACCCTATTTTGGCTGGGGACCCTGGTACCTTTCAGACGCAATTCTTCTCAGGGTTGTACCTTCTGGCGATCCAAACAGACGGATGCTATGTGGCCTTGCCTGCCATACGCTCTGCAGATGGTGGAACGGAACCTGCAGTCGGCTCTCTTATGGCGTCCTCCACACCCGAAGCATTTGGGCGCTGCTGGGACCTTTTCTTTCCCTTCCTTCTGCCTTCTTTCTGCTGCCTGGTAAAGCCAATCCACCTCTTCTTCAGGATCTTCTTCCGATCCTTCTTGGACGCCCTCATGGTGAACAGTGGCTGCCTCCAGATTGCTTCTGATGGGCCCCATATTCTTGACTGCCCCGTCTGCTGCTTCCTCAGCTGTCACCTCTCTAAGAGCATCTTGGAATGAAATATCTTCTTTTGCAAAGATCTTTTGCTGCAAGTCTCTGTTTCTTAAACCGCATACAAAACGATCTCTCAGCCTTTCTTCCAGATCTTTGAACTCACACAGTCTTGCTGCTCACCTCAAGGCCGCAATAAACTCCTTAGCCGATTCGCCTGCTTTCTGTCCCTTTGGTCAAATGTGTGTCTCCACGCAATAACAGACAACTTGGGCTGAAAATGTTCTTTCAATAGCTTCTTTAAGTCTGTATACGTTACAGACTCCAGAGGGGCAGGGGCCGCCAGATTTTCCGCAATTTCAAATGCGTCCTGACCACAGACACACAACAGGGTTGCAGCCTTCAAACCGTCTTCTCTGACTTGGTTTACCCTGAAGTAGTTCTCTACTCTTGCAACATAAGACTCCCATCTCTATGAGTGTGAAACGTCAAATTCAGATAAGCGACCTATCTTCGCCATCCTAGCTTCTTTGGGAAGGAGTCTATCAGCTGAGCTGACCTCCAGCGACACTGTACTGGCAGTCTAGAACACTGAGTTTAACGCAGTCTTCCCTTCTTCAGGACTCCTCGGGTAAGTCTTACTGTTGTTCTTCTTTTAAGCTTGTAAGCTTCCCACCTTCGTCACCAGTGTTGTCCTTCGTTCGATGGCAAATGAAGATCACACATGGTAGAATCAATAGCTCTTTATTTCTCCTTCTGCTCACTCCAACAACAATAACGAGGCTCGCAGGCCTCCTTTTTTAGTGACCGGATCCCCGGGCAAAACAGCAACATTAATGGCATGCTTTCGTGCCTCACACATGTGTGCAAGGCTGGCGCCTCTCAGTCTGGTCCCGGGCAGCTTGCAGAAACCCCGGGACCATAGCAATGTCCCGAGCCTGCTTTTGCAGGCTCAGGACACAACACAAACAAACAATATTTAACAACAATCAAGCAATCAAACAACAAGATCTATCTATCCCAGGTCCATGGGAACACTATAGGATAAAAATGTGGATAAAAATGCCAAATCCAATTGAAACATCTGGCTGACTGTACAACCAACCATAATAATTTATCAGACTTTTACATTGCCTGACTTCCAACAACTCTGGATGGTACACAACAATAAAAAAGCAATTACAATAAAATCAATATATGATAAAGATAAAAGATGGCAAATACAATAAAGAGAGGGGTCTTTCCAATGCTCTCTGTAAAGAGCCAGATCTTCACAGCAGTTCTAAACCACTCCAAAGTAGGGCATTTGAATCTTGGGCAGAATCTGAAGCAAAACAAAAACAAAAACAAAAAAACAAATCAAATCAGCCACTGAAAAAGTAAGATAGCAGCAATGGTACTAGTTCAGCCTTCCCTTTATTTATTTTTTTTACACTCCTTATGGCTTCTATTAGAGCTCATATCTGGGCTACCAAGAAATACTAGAACGCTACTTAATTGATATAAGGTATAATAATAGAATCTTAAAAGCAAGACAGCTTTAGCTTATTTTGTTAGCTGTTGATTAGTTGGTTTAATTATGCTTTTATGAGTTTATAGTATAAAGGCTTGCGATTACTGCTTGTTTTGAAATTAGAATGTTTGAATTACCTTGTTACTGCTTGTTAAAAGATCTTTCTCCTTTTCTTTCACCACATTCACTATAGTAAAAAGTGTTGGGTTTTTTTGGTTAATTTAGGGCAATGAATGATCCCAGCCATGGTGATCTTCAAATTGATTTATATCTTTCTTTGTTATGGGTACCTATCCAATATAAATAACCTATATATATATATATATATATATATATATATATATATATATATATATATATATATATATATAAACACTCCAGGTGGCAAACATTATCTAATATTTTTTCTTCTTCCTATTTTTCCCACCACAGCAGGTGAAGTGAGTTGGGCTAAAAAAGGGTGACTGTTCCAAGGTCAACCAGCTGGCTTTCATGGGAATAGTTTCTAGCCTGCAGCTTCAACCATAACATCAAACAGGCTCTTTGTGCTTTATTAGTGTTACGATATGCAGGCTGCAAAATACAAGCACTAAAATAGCACACGTGAGAATTTTCTATGTTTCGTTGCTGCCATATAGTTGTCACCCAAATCGTTGCAGTTGAGATGAACCAGGTTAAGATTATATTCATTTTTCTCCATACCTGAACCTTGCAAGAACAAGGACTTATATATAACAAGCAGGTATTGAAACACAAGGCCAAAGATTTTGAGGACATTCAATAAAAACTGATAACTCTCGGGTTCAGTGTCCACTTAGCTCTGACACTTTTAAAGAAGATAAAAGTCGTGATACAGCCTGACAGAAGATAGATACTGAGTTAATGGGTTACATGAAAGATACTATGGAAATAAAAAAAAACTCCTGAGGTTTATACAGTATACACGAGTCCACAGAGCTATCTAGGCCGCCAGGTGGCGGTACAACTGTTCAGAGGTCGGAACGGTCTGGGCGTAGCTTCTGTCTGGTGGGGTGTCAATCCCGCCCAATTCCCTCCCTCAAGATTGACGTGCTTCCAGTAGCAAGCGGCTGCTCAGGTGTGGGCGTAGCCCCTGCAGAAATCCTTCCTTCTCGCTTTTGCTCACGCAGCCGGTGGTTGTGGTGCCCGGCTCGATTTTACATCGCCCTTATTTCCTGGTCGTCGAGAGGAGTGGCTGCCCATCCAGCTGGCTTTCTGGCAGCGTCATGACAGAGCTGGAGAGTCTGGAGTTCGGCAAAGCAGATTTCCTGCTTCTCGACACCGTGTCTATGCCGGAGTTCATGGCCAATCTCCGGTTGAGGTACAGAGTGGATTGCTGCGGACGGGGGGGGGGGAATCTCCGTGCCTCTTCCTGCCCCCCTTCCAGGGAGGAAAGGAGCATGCCAGTCTGTGCCACATGCTTCTTTTCATTGCTGGGTGGCAAAATGCTGAATTTTTGCTCATCACATAGACGGTGCTGAGGATTGCCACCCTTTACTAGACTAGATGATTGAAAGTATGAGAAAGTTAAGGTCACCTCCAGGTTTGGTCACCTTTTAGTTAATTGGTTTTTGAAAATCAAATTGAGGTTCGGATGTAGACAGAAGACAGAAATTATGTAGTTGGATTAACATGAATGAGGAAAAAATAGAGAAATGATCCTATTGATCATAACAGCAGTTTATCATGATTTTTCTTTATGCTGACTATTCCTACCCCTCAACAAAGCCCCCTGCAATTCCATTTAAAGCAGAGAATAGAAGCCTCCTCACTAGTTCAGAGGACAGTTCAAGGGTAGGCCCTAATAAGGAAACTGCACATAGCACATGGAAAGAGACCCATGCAGTGCAGTGTAGTGCCTAAGGCAACAGGCTGGAATTCAGGATCCTGCGAGCTCTAGACCTGCTTAAGGCACAAAGCTAGATGAGTGACCTTGCACCAATCACCGTCTCCCAGCCCTTGAAAGGACATAAGGGCAAACCATTTCTCAAATCTTTCCAAAAAATCAGTCAAGGACTTATCCAGGCAATTTCCAGGGGTCGACACTGACTTAAAGGCACCAAACTTCAACCTTGCATCTTCAATCAGACTTATTGTCTTGAGGTTCCATCTCTTTAACATTGGATTTTCCCAGCTCTGTTCCCCCCTTGAAAAGGTGGCTTTGTCTAATGATAGAAATAACCCCAAGTACTCAGACAAGGACTTGCCAAGCTTCCCCAACAGTTGCCATCAAATCAGATCTCTAGGATTTCCGGTCTTTAACCTCCCACTTCTGTCTCAACTGGAATGGTTGCTCTCCTGACATCCACCTGACATCTACAAATGTGGTTCTTAGACATCTATTGAACACGTGCCACTTTCCTGAAGTCTTTACTATGTAAATGTCGCCCTTCCCCTTCCTTTTTAATATCTGTTTATCAATTTTAATTGTAGTTGATAATCTTTCAATGATGTTTATTTTCTTTGTCTACCACTTGTGGCTTCTGCTATAAATACAGAGGAAATGAGAATACATGTGGTCTTTCCAATTTTCCTACAGCTGCCAGAATGTTTGTCTAACTATAGTTCTTTATTATATTGTACACCCAGATAACAAGGACACCATGCATCAGCACATGTGAGTTTAGCTCAATAGCTCCATTTTTAAAAGAAGCAGCACCTCAGAAACAAATAAGGTTCTACTTTGATTTCATTGGCACTTTTGATGCCATTGACCCTTTGTTATTCTGGACAGGTCATAGAAATTATATACTGGAGGTGAGGCTTGAATTAGTTATATTCTTGCTTGGATGGCTTGTTCCAAACAGTGGTAGTAGCAGAGTCCCATTAAGGTTTTCTTTCTTTCTTCCGTGCTACCTTTGATATTTCAATCAATTTCTGGATGAGAGAGGTCCAGAAATAACCACAAAGGATAGATGACTGAGTTTTATTTTTTTTTTCTTAACAACCATAAAGAATTATGTGATAATGGATAGAATGATGATTAGGAAATGTGAAGCTAACCGTACAAGAAGAAAATATTGGTATGCATATGTGTTCAAAGTATTCATCCAGTTCTGAATGGGGTTTTCAGAGAGATTCCTGATTCAGTGTTTCCCCTAAAAACCTGAGCAGCCTCTGTGACGAGAAATAAACATTCTTCATCAGCTTTGGTTGATAAGCTAGTTGTCGCTTTTCCTGCAGGCGACAACCTGCCCACCCTGCTGCGGTCATCTTCCAAAGTGTGTTGTTTTCAAAGAGTCTTAAAATTTCAGTGGGCCAAATAATGCTGCAAGATTTTTGGAGACGGAGCAATTTGACATGCCACTCCAGTGATTTATTAGATGCCCAGGATGTTTCTGGGCTCAACATCTAATGTTATTTTGACTTGGGACTAAATTTTTAGAAAGAGTATGTAGTCTCACATCTTTCAGTTTGAACCATGAATGCTTTTTCAGAGGTTGTTTTATTTTATTTTTATTTTTTTGCTCCTGACATGTGAAGTAAGGAAAATGGAATGTTTTCACTGAAAAAGGAGAATAGTCTTTATACAGCTAATTTTGTTATTTTGCCATCGAGTGAATTTTGTTTTATTCCCCAGTCTTTTTAGGACCTGTTAATGTTTTCATGGTGTATTATAAATGTGGATTTTTAGTCATGCTGTGAGTCTTCTTTCACTCTCTCCTGGTTTTTTTTAATGTCACAGTTTATAGTCATAGTTTTAGTTAGAAATATACAAAGATCTGATACCGTATTCTGCATTTGGGAGCCTGAAAATATTATTGAAAATTTTATAGAGATGCAATGAATAAATGAATACATACATATGGAGTAATCCTGCCACTATACAAACATCATGTGAATGTTCTACACATTTGTAAAATATCCTTGTGGCACCAGGAAACCTATAGATTTTATCATTGGTAGTCACTAGGACCATGAGTAATAGGAACTTTAGCCCAACACAATTGTAGTGGTTCCAGATTGGAGAATGGCTATTATGAAATATCTTTAAACCTCAGGATAATGGCAACAATAAAAAGATGAATGACAAATAATGTATTTAATAATAAAATATTTAACAATAAATACTGCTCTGGATAAGTAGGATTAGTCTTCTTCATCTTCCTCCCCCTCTTCCTCTTCTGAACTTCTGTAGATAGAAAAGGAATAAAAGATGGTATTACAATGTGCTTATAAAACTACTTAGTCTTCTAAATGGTCTCTTCAACTTTTGTCAAGCTATTATTATTATAATAGATCCAGAATTCTTATTCTTTTCTGACAATAGCAAGAAGTTCAGTATTTCAGAGCTGTTGAATTTCTGCCATGCTGAGTAGTGACCATGCAGAAAAGAGCAGAAGAGAGCAACTATACATTACAAAGATCAAGGGAGTCCTAAGACTGGCCTGTCACAATTCTGCTTCTTGATTGCTCCTGTTTGGCTTTTCCAACTGTTCAAGCCGTTAAAGGTAGAAAGATAATAGAAAATCAATACCCGTTTTTTCGATTTCACGTCAGAGCCAATGACACTGCCAAAAAGGGCTTGAAAAGAATAGTGAGAAATTATGAATAACTAGGCAGGATGGCAGGAGTTCAGAGCACAAGCTGTGTTTTCATCCATATTTCCAACAAAAAGTAGAACGGACACGTTGCTGTTAACTCTCTGCTAAACAGAGAATCAGCAATGTTGTCACTGTTTGCTTTCCTATCAGTTTTTTCTACTGGTGCCTATCTTTTGCTATGAAATGTATTGATATACAACACACTGCCTCACGAGAAGTGAACTCCTTTATTGAATTAGCCCAGTTTCCTGGGTTGGCACAACCCCTAGAGATATAAACTAGCCAACCATATTTAGTATCTCAAGTGAACCCATCCTAAATATGGATGCTAAGAAGACAGTTCAGGTCCTGAGAATATTAACCATTGTAGGAACTGCTGTAAGAGGATTCTAATACAGAACGCAGGATGAGAAGCAATTTCAACAATGGTCTGGTAGCCAGGCGCTCTAAGGGAAGAGGACTTGATAACCATCCACAGAATCTACTCACAACAGCTACTTTGGGTCTGGCAGCATCACTTTCTGTCTAGGGTAGGGACAGACAGGGAAAGAGAGAAGTGAAGCCCTAAGGTGAGCAGTAAAACAAGGTTCCAGAAGCCTTCCAAGAAGACTGAGGAAAGAACTACCGTGCTTTGGCTTCCCTTTTTTGGCATGTTTGAATTAAATTTGTTATTCATAACATTAATGTTTTAAGCTGCCTGGAATTACCTTATGTGAGTTGGGCACTTATACACATTTCTTTAATAAATAAATGAAGATTTCTGTGTCTCTGTAAACAAGCATCTGTGCTAAATGAAAGTTATTTCAATAGGAGGAATAAAATGTTTGCAGTTAAAAAACAGAATATGGTTTATTCCTAGTAAACCAGTGTTTGGAGGGATTCTTACTATGGCATCCCAGTGTAAATGTACTTAGGAGTAAAACACACTATATTCTCTGGGGTTCAACTGTGAATTGGTTCTATAGATCAGGATGCATATTCTTACATCAAAATCAGAATTGTAACAGGCAGAACACAATGCTATCTTGCCTACCGAGATACTTTAATGAGTCCTTTGAGTTTCCATTTGTTTTTTCCCTACTTCCTACCCTTTCTCAACAATCCTCAAATCTTTTTCTCTAGTTTGCCAACTGAAGTTCATCCCATACCTTCCATTACTTTCTGTCCTGAGCAGTAAAACTAATTACTAGTACGCAGTATATCGCAGGCTAACTCTGCTCACAGCAAGGAGTTACAGTGCAAGGTTGATTATCCTTTTCTCCTCCCGAGGTTGGTATTGCTCCCAACAATATTTTCCCCATACTGCTGGGAGCATTATTCTGACACTATAAATAGCTCAGAGAGTGCTGCAGAAGCACTGTGGGGTGGTATACAAGTCTACGTGCTGTTGCTTTTGTTAATTCTGTTGCAAGATACTAGCTTCTTTGCCAGAAAGCAACAATTGACTTCTAAATCTGCATTTCCAGATTCTATTAAACCGAGCTAATATGAAAACATCATTATATATTTTAACAGACATGGAAAAATATGATCCCCAAACTGAACATATTAAGAAAATCTAAAACCACCTAAAAATAATTGATGCTCGAAGCTAATCTTTCATATCCACCAAGTGTATCTTTGCTTTGTATGTCCTGTATTCTAGCAAAGAAGCCACACAAAAGAAAATCCTCTAGGAAAAAAATTCTCTATCCCTTCGTTATATTTTTATCCATTTGGAGTTAGGGTTAGAAAGGAATAATAGTTTTATTTTTTTATGTTTCATTTTAGATTTCATACTATTTTAATTATATAGTGCTCTAGCGGAGAGCTTTATTAATTTACCAAGCATTTCCATTTCTAAAAAGAGCCATTTGTTAATACCTTATTGCAGCTTTTGTGATTATTCTTCAAAGAGCAAATATAGGATCCAATTTAAATAAAATGCAAAAGCAAAACCGGAAAAGCCTCCAAACTTTTAGAATCAGATAGATAGAAAAATGATGGGACACTGCATCCAATGAACATAACAATGAACGTACAATAAAGGAGCATCTGCTCCCTTTTGTAATAGATGTTTGATATTCCAGAACTGGAAGAGGTAAAAAGGTTTTGCTCTTTTCTAGTCTTTCTCCTTCCTTTTCCTATTTCCTACTAGAACTTCTTTCTACCGATGAACAATGAAATAAGCAAGTTATGAGATGTTTTACACATTAAGTATTCTATAAATGTGAATCCGCAAATGCATTCTGAACCACTTCAAAAGTCTTAGAGATACATAATCCCGACTTGCACACTGAAGCTACTCACCCCTTCTTTGAAGTGCCTTCAGTCCCTTCTTCTTCTGTTCCTGAAGCCCTGATTAAAAAAAAATTAAAAGCCGAATTTAAGTATTGCTCTGGGAGCAGTTGAATATTTTATCATCACCTGGCTGGTCAGCTTGGCCTAGTGATTTATTGTTTATTTATTCGATTTAATTCCACCCATCTTGTTCCAAAGCAGCCCTGGGAGGCTTCCAGCATTGAAAGCATTAAAACCATCAAAGATAAATATTTCTAAGACGATAAAAATGAAATTATAATCAAAGACAAAGTTAATAAATAAAAGATAACTAAAAGATATAAGATGGGGAAGGAGTAGGATGCTCAGTGGGGGAGGGAGGTGGGATTGTCTCCTAATTCATCAACTACCTCCTGGGTGATACTCCCCTCTTGGGGTCCCCAGCCATCTGGCAGAGCCAGGTCTTCAGGCCCTTGTGGAAGGTCAGAAGGGTGGGAGCTAATCTCACCTCAAAAGCTAAGATGTTCCAAGGGGGAGAAGCCATAGCAGAGAAGGTGCCTTCTCCTAGACTCCACCAGCCAACATTCCTTGACTGACGGGGCCTGCAGCTTGCCTCCTCTGCTGGCGTGGGTGGATTGGGCCAGCCTCAGTGGAGCGAGACCGTTCCTCAAGTAACCTTGACTTATGCCATGCAGTCAGGTTGGAACATAGTTTGCAGATAAATTAATTTGTGGCACAAGAGGTCAATCCTCTTTTGGGCCCAGCATTAAAAGCATTGTCCAAGGCACTTCTCCATCAATTTTGTAGCATCATTAACTCAGTTCACATATAGAGTAAGAGGATTTCATAAAATCTTCCTTAATGGGGACACCAAAAATAAATTATGCCTCCATGGGAGGGAGGCCCTCTCTGCTGTTCAGATTTGGGCAGCAAATTATTTTGGGCAGTGTTATGTATTGGTTTGAAAAGTTATGATTGCTATGAACAGTCGTTATGTTATATTTGAAAGAGTCTCCAACTGTTTCGGAGGAAATATCACTCAAATTGATTGGTCGCCGCCTAGTTGCGGAAATATATAAATAGCTGTCATTGTGACAGTTAGACTTCACTTCTGTGTTTTCAGCAACAAAGAGCAGTTGTTTTACATAGGTCTGGTCTATGTCTCAACAAACTTAATACACAATACTGGCAACAAAGGTGGGATGCTGCTAAGGAGAGAGAGAGCTGAAGCAGCCAGAAGTCACTAGGATGTGAGACCAGGTACCAGAGCTCTGATAGAGACCACGTTCCCATCCTGCCTGCCAGTTAAGCCGCACTGTAGGCACAGTCTTCCTGAGGGATCCATCCCAGGATTCACCTAGCAGCTCCTAGCAGTAGAAGGCATTGACCAAGACCCCGTTTAGCATCAGCTACGGCCAAAGTGGGCAAGCTAAATGAATTTGATATTTCTCATCCTGAATAATGGAGCTCCTACATCTCCAGGGTGGATAACTACCTGCAGACCAACCAGGTGAGAGTCAATGGGCTGAAGGCAGCAACCCTTCTCTGCGGGACAGGCGCCATTCGACATCGCGGAGAACCTGATTGCCCCAGCCAGCTTAGAATCAGTCACATACATTGATCTGAAGAGGAGGCTAAAGGAACATTTTGAACCCAGGCTGTCCGTTATTCCTTGGCGGCATGCATTTGAGCAAAGAGAGCAACAGGCAGGGGAGTCAGCAGCCAAATTCGTGGCCGCACTAAGACAAGCATCAAGGCTCTGAGTTTCCTGACACGACACAGGGGAACTTAAGGACAAAATCAAGTCCATGGATGGAAAACTTGAATCCTTTCACCAGCAGATTATGAAAAATCAGAAATGGAGGAAAGGATGGACAAAGAAGAGCAGAGAGTAGATGAAATGAATGAAAGATTCAGTCTAACAAAAAATTAGAAGCTACAGTTATTTCTCTGGAACTTGAGAAGGCCGCTCATTATTTACGGTTTCAAAATGTAGGTGAGATGAAAGGTGAAGATCTGCCAGTAATGTCAGATATACTAGCGGGAGCTCTGGGGTCCAGCAGAGAGGAGATGGCCAGTGAGAAAATGAGACTTACAGAATCCACACGAACTATGCAAGACGGCACAATCTTCCCAGAGAAGTACACATCAGATTTATTAAGAAATCAATTAGAGATGAAATTCTCTTCAGGTTCAGAGATGACTCATTGGAATACTAAGGTAAACAGCTGATTGTACTTAAACAAGTACCTAAAAGAGTGAGAGACTTGAGAAGGCCCTATCAACAAATAACTTTTAAACTGACGAGGAAAAATATTAACTTTAGATGGTTGACCCCAGAAGGCATTCTGGTTACATGGCAGGAGAAAAAGTTTCGCTTAGACTCAATAGATAAAGCAGAGGAATTCTATAGGAAAAACTTTGGCAGCGAGGAAGATTTAGTTGAAAGAGAGGTAAGAGAGGAAGGAGAGATACTAGCTCAGGCCACTGAATCTAAAGGCAAACGAGTCGAGTTTAGAGAAGATATTGATAATGGGAAAAATGAAGGGAAATATGAGGAGAATAGACCTAAAGAAATTAAAGAGGCTAGACCGACAAGATTGTTAGTGGAAAGAGGAAAGGATTTACAAACTCAAGAGTCTAGACCGACAATAGTAACCAGATCCAAACATAGATAAGGACAGGAAAAAAGGTGTTGAATCCATATCCATCAATATTAATGGCCTCAACTCTCCAACAAAAAGGAAAAAGTTTTTAAATAAGCATAATAAGATGAACTTAGATATAATTTTGCTACAAGAAGTTCATATAAAAAAAGAGCATCAATATTTATTAAACTGCCCTAAATTGGGAAACATGTTTGCGGCACTTTTGCAATACAAAAAGGAGGAGTGGTAGCATATATTAAACAGGAAATTTTGGTAAAGCAAATTTATAAAGATGAAGTGGGTAGAATTTTAATAGTGGAAGTAGTTTTGAATAAAATTAAAATTCTTCTGGTGGGAATTTATGCCTTGAATGAGGGGCAAAAACAATTCTATAAAAAACTTCATAACATTATTAATCAATTGGAATATGGTAACATTTGTATAATGGGAGATTACAATGCAATTGTGGATAGAAACCTAGATTATAAATGTGGAAAGAGTAGAAAAAGAACCAGAGGAACAATACCTGATACATTCCTAAAAATGGCAGATGAGCTCAATATTCAGGATACTTGAAGAGAGAGGAATTTAGGGAAAAAACAGTTTACATTCTACTCTGGACGTCATCAATCATGGTCCAGAATTGATATGGTTTGGATGTCAGCTTAAATTTAGAGTAGAGGAAATTGTAATTGATATGAACTCCTGGGCTGACCATAATCCGATTAGAATTAGATGGAAAAGGCAAAAAAATATGAGAAGATGGACTCTGAAAAGAGCAATCCTAAAACACAAAGAATTCAAATTGAAATTGGAAGAAATGGACCTATTTTTTAAGACAAATAAAAAGGAATATACGAATTGCCAAAACTTACGGGATACAGCCAAGGCCTATATGAGAGGCGTTGCAATTTCTTATATGGCAGGGAACACAAAATCAAAATACAACGACAAAGACACTTAGAAGAAAAACTAAGTAGAGTTGAGGAAAACTTACAAAAGGAACCACAAAGACACGATTTGAAACAACAGATAGACCTAATTAAGCATAAGATGAATATTATTGGGAAGGAAGAATTAGGACAGTAGATAAAACGTACTAAACAAAATTTCTTTAAAAATGCCAATAAACCAGGGAGATGGCTGGTTTATAAAATTAAAAAAAAACATAATAAGAAGCAGAGGATTACTAAACTTTATAATGCAGAAGGTGATATGTTGTACCAGAATGAAGGAAAGAAATTAGTGGCATATGAGTTCTATAAGAACTTATACAAAGATGATGAATGGAGAAATAATTATGACATTGTACAGTATTTACAATCAGCTGACCTACCAAAAGTGCCAGAAGAATTTAAAACTCTGTTGAACAAAGAGATAACACCTTTAGAACTCTTGGAGGCAATCAAGAAACAAAAACATAATAAAGCACCTGGGCCAGATGGTATACCTATAGAAATGTATAAAATCGCACAAGAATCTTTAAGCCCAATGTTGTTGGAACTATTCAATGAGGTTCTAACAAAAGCTAAAATACCAGCCTCATGGGAAGAAGTTCTCCTCACTTTGATTCCTAAGGAAAATTCAGACCTGGCGCATATTAAGAACTGTAGACCCATTTCTTTATTAAATTCAGATTATAAGATTTTCATGGCTATAATGGCATAAAGACTTGAAAGATTTCTAGCAGATTTTATACATTCTGATCAAAATGACTTTTTATCCAAAAGATACATAAGAAATAATGTCAGGATTGTTTTGGATATATTGGAGTATTATAAAGTGCATAATGAAAAGCAAATGGGTTTATTTTTTCTTGACGCACAAAAAGCATTCGACAATGTGAAATGGGATTTTACGTTCAATCAATTATTGAATATGGATTTTGGAGAAAATTTCTTAAATATGTTCAAATCAGTATTCTAAACAGGCAGCAAAAGTAGTAATTAATGGAAAAATGACCGATAGCTTTCAAATTCAAAAAGGCACGAGGCAAGGTTGTCCGTTATCGCCACTGTTGTTTATATTATCTCTTCAGGTATTAATCAGAGTAATTCGGCAAGATGAACAGATTAAAGGTTTAGCGATCAAGAAAGAAACGTTTAAAACACAAGCTTTTGCAGACAATTTAGTTTTTATAATCGAAGAACCATTACAATCAGGGACATGATTGATGGAAATACTGAGTAAATATGGGGAAATAGCAGGTCTGAAGATAAAGAAAGAAAAAACTAAAATGCTCATCAAAAATATGACTAAAATACAGAAAAATGAATTGGTTGACAGAATAGGTATTCAAATTATGAACAAAATAAGATATCTAGGGATACAATTAACTGCTAGATGCGTTACAGTCAAAAGAGACAACTCTGATAAGTTAATTGAACAGATTAAAAAGGATTTAGATACTTGGACCAACTTACAGCTCTC